TTTAAGTATTAAAAAGGTGGAACACTTTTTATTTCTACCTAAAGAATTTAACTGGAAAAATGATAAATATGACTTTCTAATGATTGTAAGAAATTGAAATTAGTTGTGACTATTACTAAAAAAAGGAAAAAGTAGTTTCACAAGTGATACAACATACAGAACTAATAAAACGTTTCAATCGACAGCTAAAAGGATTGAAATTACAGCCACTGGCAAGGAAATAATTGCAAATATCCGGAGTAGCGCCAAATTAAACATGGGTTCAAAGGGGGCCACTTTGCAGGATGTCCTTTACTGTCTCCAATTCACTACGTCAACAAATATTCAATGAAAATTTTTTATTCTTCCCCTTTCCTTTTTGTTTAATTTCATTTAAGATGAATTTTAATTTTTGAATCAAGTTTATTCAAGTAATGTGAATTACTTATTCATGTGAATGTAGAAAGTAATTAAATCGTGTATATTGCCAAACATATTGAAAATGAATTCAATGTACTCTACAAAACAAGAATAAAGGCAGCCCTCTTTTCAATAATAATTATATTAATAATTCATGACGATTCGAACATGAATTAACGTGTTTGCATTATTTTCATTCGAGCCAAGTTAATTTCGACTCTCTCCTCGTACCACGTTCACGAACTATTGCAACATCCGCTCGTGATGTAAATTTCCTGTTAACTCATGCAACGTGGACATTCTACTGTATGCTAATATTTATTCATTCCTAGTACATTTTCTCTCGCGACGTCTGACGGATGGGACATGCCGAATAAGTCGTGCAACTGTACCATGAATCTCGAAATTATTTTTTGAAGTTTAATTAAAAATGTGGCAGACGTGCCAATTAGTGTGGGTCGACCTATTACTATGCCCTTTTATGTACGTTTCTGGTTTAAGCAAATTACGTTTACTTTTATGTTTGAGGAAATACCTCAATTTAATAAAACTTAATTTTAATTTATATTTTCTAGGCTAACCCTTCATAGGCAAACATAATGAAATAATTCTGAAATACTTATCAAAGCCTTTACTACATTGTACGATCATTTGTTATGTCAAAGGTTTACAACTTTCTTCTATAAAAATAAACATTTGGAAGAAAGTCGAAGTTTATTTGTGTTATCAACGACATTATGGACGGTTAAAACAGGATTAATAAACTGAAACTAATTCTTTAAATTAACGACACACACTTGAAAATGTGGATCTAGAGACAAGGAAATTAGTTTCAAAATGAATCGTCTAGCAGGCGATTGCATGAAAATTCAGACAAATCGTAGATCGAGTAAACTAAGTGAAAGCAAACGCAGATAATTAAGAGATAAATGCACTAATTATATAGCAAATGAACGCGATTCATAGCTGGCAAATGAATAATCGTTAAGAAATACACGTTGAATAGAGCTATTAACTGGAATTAACCGAACGCCAAGTTGGCATTGATCCTCGTAACTGCAACGAATCTAAAATTCATCGATGCATTGGAAAATCCAGGAAACTGCAATGAACGCTCTTTAACGATACCTCGATATTCGTTCGATACGATTAATGACCGTTAAACAGTCGCTATTAATCCAAAGTGTGTTTCAAAACGACCATTTCGGTATCACGAAATTGTGTTATATTCAGTGTGCCTGGACATGAATAGTTTCGCTTGTTAGCGCATCAATTACGCGTTAATTATCGAACAAAACGAATCGTTCACTTTGTTCCACGATTATACGTGTTGACGAGGTGTTCGTTGATGAAAAAAATCGCGATAACTTGTATAACTTGTTTATACGACGACTTTAATATTAAAATGTATAACTAACATAAAAACATTTCTTCTGAATGAAACTTTTTGATAAATAATGACCAACGGTTGAGTTATAAAGAAAAGTTACTCCGGAGGGTGCTCTCTATAATTTACATATACATATCAAGTTAAAGTAATTGGAAGGGAATTTCCTTTTCGGTAAATTTACCATTCTCTTCTTGTAACTAAAAGAAGACCTCTCGTTTCAGAGTATCGTCTAATAAGAGTCTGAACGAGCTACGAATAGGATAAAACGCAATCTCATGGCGTTAAACTCGGCCGGAAGTGGAAGCCATTCAATCAGCGTTCACTTTAAACACTTTTTCTCCCCCAGTTCGACCTAGCCGTTTCAAAAGGTTTAAGAAGCAATTAGCCGTTGATAACGCGTAATTAACCCCCGAGGCACGTGCGCGTACGAATACCGAGGATTAATTAAAATGTATACCAAGCCGTTGCTAATGGAACGATAAAGGCCACCCACCCTTAACGATCATCTCTGTTAACGCGCGGTTACTGAGCGTCCAAATGAATCAGAAAACTGTTAATCTTACACTCCTGTCTACTGTAATTTATTTTCTTATTCATCTACTCTGTTTATCTCTGTTTCCAACATTTAATTTTCCTACCAATCATTTAATGAGAAATGGAGCTCCTTATTCCTGGGGATATGTAAGTATTTTCATCCAAAAAAAACTCCCCTAAGGGTAATAACCCCTTCCCACATAAAATATTCCTCCTTAAAATCTGATTTATAATTTGAACTGCTTTAAATTTTTGTGTAAAATGTATTCATTAAATTTAACCCTTGAACTGCGGAGCCTGGGTCAATCCTGACCTAAACTTACTAAAATGATACCCTATCTGGAATAAAATTGTTTGTCTATATGTAAATCTAATATATGCAACAAATCACATCATTTGTTATCACAAAGTTACTCCCCCGTTCCTCTACACATCTTTTTATATAAAATTTGTATACATCAATGCGCTTTTAAACGAGAAACGCAAAGGACGAGAAATCAATCGTCACAGGTAGCCGGAGGAAAATCGTCGATCACGAACTGTCGGTCGACGAGAGTCATCCGTTGAGCTCGACGGCCAACGAGCTCTCGTCGAGAGCAGGCACATTTTCGTTGATCGACAGCCGCTTCAATTTCACGCGACGCGACGCGGTAAAATTCGCGTTAGCTCCGCTTATCAGTCACGCCTCGCTTTGTCGGGGACCGTTCACATAAAACGGCCCCTGCTTTCCTCCTTTCACCTCGCCTTTTACCCCCTTCACGGCACGTGATGATTCGTCTTTGACGAATCACCCTTCGCCATCTCGTCACGCTCCTTCTGTGACCCTACCACCTATGCTACTCGAACCCTATTGGGTGATAGCAGAATAATGGTCATAGTAGTATTATTTAGTTCATTCTAAATAAAAATTAGTCACTTTATGGTACTTATAAAACATTATTGGACATGAAATAATCCTCTGACAGAAATTTATGCTAAACCAAAGATATTAAAGAATAAGAAATAAATTATTTAAAAATTACTAGATTGTTAATTTCATCTGCTAAAAATTGATATCGATTTTTAATCAAAATTGATTTATAAAATTAATATTTCAAAGAAGAAAAGTATCTAATACTTTCCTATGTATTCTGTATTTTAATAGTTTAATTTAATTTAAAAAACTATTTTATCTATAATTTAATTATAAATACATAATAATAATGACCAATACGTATAATTAAAAAAAAATTATTTGATCTTCAATTTTAAAGTCTGATTCAATTTTTCTACTAATATTAAATTTTCCACCAGAGAAAATCAAATCGATAAATAACGATCGTTATTTCTGCAACACCCTGTACGAGCATCCCCTCGGCAATACTAGCAAAGAGGGCGAGTTCAACCTCAAAAGAGGTGCTTCAGCGATGCTTTTCTGTAGCCATTCCTACAATTCCTTTCCAGCCCCACCTGTGTCTCCTATCCCCATTTTCTCACCCCTTGTTCGTCCAGCTTCTTCCCGTTCCTCTATACTCTATATTGTCCCTGCTTTTCTACCACTCCTATTTTCCCTTCCCGTCTCGACTTCACCCGCTTCTCTTTAGTTTCAACAATTTTTTTCTTTTTTTTTTTTTTCGGTAAAGTCTCTTTGTCCGAATCCCACAGAACTTTTCCACCTTCCTACCCTCTACTCTCATACTTTCTCGATATTCCTTTTTCACTCTTTTCTCAGCTCTCCTTTTTTCTACCCACTTTCGCGTTTACCTACTCGTTTGATTTCTGGCGACCAACGACGCGATGAAATACGAGTGCTGTTCCACGGCAAGGTGGCGCGATTTCGTGGCAAAGGGCTTGGTTCACGGCTAGGTCGAATGACCGAGCACCGAGAATGTTTGTAATTCAAGAGAACGTATTTCCTGCTACGCTATTCCTGTTCAACTACCGCCGAGGGAATCGAGTTCTTGACTTCGCTTAAAGTAATACAATCGGATCGCTTAGAAACCAGCTTAGGAAACTTGCTGTCAGCTGGAAAATTTTAGTTACCTTCAAACCGGACAAGATGAAATTGAAACAGTTCTTAATTGAATAATTATCTCGCGAATTTAACCCCTTCTATGGTACTCTGATTTTTAACGTTCGCTTGTTAAGCATTTTTCTACATTCCTGCGGGGATGCAAATTTTTAGCAAGCTGCTTTTTTAGATTCCGTGCTAAAACTACCCCTTTTTACTCGTCGATCTTGCGGGATGAACACAAGCAGCCGCCGGTTCAATTTGTTTCTTTTCTACCTCTCTTCCATTTTTATTTCCCGTACAGTCTTTTGTATGGAAATGTTGATTCGCGGTGGACGATAAAAAAATGCCAACTACATGGGGATCGCATAGAGTTGCTTGTAATTTTAACGAACGCGTCGCGGGAGGAGAATCCTTAACCTATTTTTAAATAAATAAACGAGGGATGCAAATTCGGAACAAAGAGAAATAAAAAAATTGTGAAAAAGGGGTTACACGAAACTGAAAGAAATTCCTTCTTCGAACGTGACACTAAATAAATTCCCAAAGCGACTTAAGGGTTACTTATCCGAGAGCCTCTTCAGGGGAAAAATGTGAAGATCGTAAAAGGGCGCAAGATTCAAGGCTTTCCTCGAAAATTTCAAAGGATATAAAGTTCCGTGTCTAATGAAAAATTTATTAACTCACGTTTCGTTGATGCTCGCCTTTATTCTCAATCGTCCTCCTTCTTCCTCCAAGCTTTCCTGTAACAAACGATCAAGAAATCGTTAGCACCCGATCGTCAATTTCTTCAGTCAGAAAATGTTAAAACGGTAAAAAATAGTCTTTTCTTCTCACGGTTTATTTCCATCGATCACGAGAACGATTCACAGTGGTCGCAATAACGAGAATAATCGTCGACTTTGTTCACCAACGACCATCGAACTTGCGGATTATTATTCGATCTACCGGTTGATGGGTCCCCGGTGATATAACCCAGGATACTAGCAACATTTTCCCTCGATCGTGTAACGTGTAACGACACCAATCGAGATTCGAAACGAGAATCGTCGCTTCGAATGACTCAGCATTCCTCTATCTACGACATGGAACAATTAATCGATAACGTCTTTCGATCAATTCCCATTGTTCGAGACGTCGACTATCGTTTCTATGATACTTCGTCGATGAAGGAAAGAATGAAAGTTCGGTTATTGCATCGTAACGCAACATCATTGTTACGATGAATGTTAGGATGGCGATCAAGTTTTTAAATTGGGGAGCTTTGTCAAATATTTAATAACTTTAAAACATCTCTAACTTTATCGAACCTGACATCCTCCGTACAATAGACTCGCTGTATCATTAATGCAACTTCTAATAACATTATTTAGACGCTGGTGAAAGGGTTGAACGACCGAACATAAAACGACAGAATCTAAAATTCCTCGGTTCCTGGGCTCGCGGTTTAAGCTCAAAGATTAATTAATCGCGAAAGCCAGTATAATTCGTTGAATAAGTTAGCGTGGACGTAGCGTAGGTCGCTTCAGCATGGTTGCCGAGATAACGCTGGTGAAAAGTGTTGTTTGGTACGGTGCAACGAGACAACCATAAATTTAGCTTTTGCGGCGACACGGCCTCTCTTTTCACCTCCTATTTTAATTCGCCGCTAATTTAATTTGCATCGTTCCGCGTCGTTGATTTTCGAATAAAAGATTCGGCCCGACGGGAAATCGATGGAAAACACATCGGTTCGGAGGAAATAATTGATAAGTACAGGAGAAATCCATTTCAACGGCAGTTTGTAAATTAAACAACTATCGTTCGAATCTGGGCCAGTGTTATTCGAAGAAATCTCCTCTGCGCCCGACGTATCTTGATCCGTTGAAAGTTTCGTACGTTTGCCCGAACGGAAGTGCCTCTTCCCTATCTAGGAACCTTCGATGAGATTCGATTCGATTCGCTTCAGCTAGGGAAATTTAGGTATTCCCAAGTTCGGTAAATATCAGAGAGACGTTTGAAACGTAACAAGAAACAATCTGCTCTTGCGTTCTCTTCCTACTTCATTTGGATAATTAATGCAAAGGAAGGGTGAAACACTTCAGGTAAGAATTCTGAATCGCTCTGGTATCGACTAGATTTCTCGAAATCAAATTAACCCTTTCGCTCGAAGGTGTTTGCGAGAGAGTGTCTTTTAAATGAAATTTTATCGTCGTTCAAACTGTCGAGCGAGTATGTCTAATTCGGCGAGAGATTAATTAGAAATCGATTATTTAAATCCGCGACAAAGGCGGACCGCCCTCTAATCAAGAGAACATACAAACTCTCGAGGCTGCGCGCGCGGGTTAACAAGTTTATCGAGGAAACTAATATGAAGGGGGCTAATTAATTAGGGGGAAACAATTTTCCAGGGGATACAAGGAGAGGTCCAAGGAGCACAATGTGTACGCGCACCACATCACCAGGTATCCGAAGCGAATGGGGAACCGCTACGTGAACACGCGTGCCTGTCACAGGTCGATAAATTATTCAGCAACAGGACGAACCGGCGACAGGCATCCTGAGCTAATTAACGTCGTTATCACGTGCCCACGTGGAGGCTCGAATGATCGGACGTGTCCTACGCCTTGATTTCAAAACTATGAGTATCGGAGATGAAGACGAATAGTCCTAACTGGTGGTGCCTAGTGTTAACCCTCGGACGGAGCGCGGACCATGCAGAGAGCCCCATAATGACAACTTATAGCGGTTGCTGCATTAGTTTTGGTCACTTCTATGGTGAACCAGATTTTAAAATTATTTGGATGATTTAAAAATTTGAAAATGGAGAAAATTTCAAGAACTTAGAAAATCGGAAACAATAGGAAATTAACGAATAATTAATTAAATTTCAAGTGAAATTGACTTTTAATGGTCATATTGGAGGGAGGTCCTTTAATAACGGCACCCCAATAACATCCCAGTCTATATTCCCATCATCCACCTTATTACTTCTTCTACATTTCTTATTTAAGACATCGAACAATAATTCTAAAGGAAATTTCAGAGGACACGAACGGTCCAGATTGCTAATTAAATTCGTTATCGAATTTACACGCGCGTACATGGCAGCGACGTGACCGGCCATCGAAACTCGACGCGGTGAGCTGAAGCGGGAGAACATTTCGACGATAAGTGAACTAATTACCGGGGATTCGAGGGACGTAGAACGTCCATAGAAGCGAAAATAGGATTCGTACAGGTGACGTACGTTGATAGAAGGATTTCGGGTAGACCATTCCCCACCATCCGTGTACTAATTAACGTCGTTATTTCGACGCCGTTTGACAGCACGTGGTTGTCGTTGTTGGCGATGTATCATTTGATATCGACCAAATGGAAGACACCTACGTTTACAAGCTCCAGCAGAGTAATCGACATTCATCAGGTTTGATGACTAGAAGGATCGCTAGGGGTTAATGATGCCTGCTGCTCATCATGTTGCACAGTGTACAATGTACACCATTAGTTCCTCCCTTTGGCTTAACCCAATCTTTCATAATGCAGTAGAAGGCTAAATTTTACTTTGGGGCACACAAAATTATTGTCTTTTTTTTAAATCGAATGAGACATTTAGGTGATTCCATAAAAAAAAAAAAAACAGTGATCTTGCAATCTTCTAAGAAAATTGATTTTAACCACTAGATGTGCCCCTTGAATCAGTATAACTTTATTCCTAATTATTAAGAATAGAAAAGTTAATTTTTAAATTTCAAATTTCAAACTTTCTATTTTACATTATTTGTGCAATAGCAATGTTATTTAAAATAATACTTTTCTACCTTAAATTAAAAATAATTTTCTTCTTAACCCATTAACTGCCAAATTTTTATTTCTGATATTTTTATTTAACATTTTATTTAATATAATCCTATTGCAAATGATAACAAAAAATATATATATATATTCAAATCTCCATTTGGGGATCGTGGTAGCAAATGAGTTAATAATAATACTCAACTTTCTTCATTGCCGCCTTTATCATTGACTAAACTACTGAAATTCATGAAGGATATGGCTGGAAGGTAAAACTCAGTCAATTTACTGTGCACTTTAGTTTCCTTGAGAACACATTACATCGCGCTAAGTGACGTCTTTAAATTGACCTAAGACCGCAGTTAGGCACCGGTTACTGTGGCAAAAGATAATATTATCCCTGTAGGGAAGCGGAGCTTGTTTCCTTCAGATGCAACCGGGTTAAACTAATATCATCGTCTCGGTTGATTTCACTCGGTAAAAATATTTCCACGATACAATTTTCATCGAATCCTCGCGGAAGATAAACAGAACTGATACGATACGAAAAACGTGGATACGTTTCAACCGACATGGGGAAACATTGAACGCGAAACCAACAGCCAATATACCAGGGAGTTTCGCGTCTAAATAGAAGTTACGTAGAGCATTCGAACAGAAAAAGGGGATTTTCAAACTAACATTCCAGTTCTTTGAAGAGCGTTCGATGTTACAGCCCGAAATCTCGCGATCTTGTAGCTTTACTACCCACAAAATAATCCAACCACCCGATTCACGATGGGCATGAATTGCGGTGTTTTCTGGTTCAAACGATAAAAAGGTCCACTTTAGAGGATTCTAACGTGGATCACCGACGAGTCCCCAGCTTTAATTAAACTAGAACTATTTAAAAACTTTGGTTAAAATTAGTCAGCAAAATGTCAAGTTTTAATAAATTGGAAGCGAAAATAAAATTCAACGTTAGAAGTATCAGGTCGTCTCATAAATTCGTGCCATTTTTCACGCTGGCATTCAGAATAAAATATTGAAAGAATTTTCTCTTCCTATGTATTCTTTCCATTTTTTTTTTTTTTCTTTTTGAGTAAAGATATATGAGCAAAATGTTTCTTGTTTTTTGTCAAAATATTTCACAATCTATAGAAACTCAACTTATCAAAATTAATATCGTCATTTTACCTACTGAAACCTGATTTGATCGCGAGTGTAAATTTTCAATTTATTTTCACACCAGAGATCAGCTTCTCTCCATTTGTACAACCGGTTACACGACACCCTCTGTATTTCGACATTCTAGATCCTAGAGAAAGATTCCTATTCGCTGCCAATTTTCCCAAAACTTTTTCAATTTTCTCCAGACGATTCTTTCCATCTTGTCTGCATTTTTATCGTTCCATCACTGTTGTGCCCCTCTGTCGAGGGTCAATTTATTATTGCGTCTATTCAGGGCTGTTCAAAGAAACTTCAACTCCAAACATTACACGCGTTCTATCGATAACCAGCTATGCAAGAGAAATTCCTTTCACGTAGTCAAAGGACAACGAAACGCGTGTGCAGATACACACACGAGGGTAAGAGCTTTCTCTCACGCATGGTAACCGAAGCTACTTGTGATACCTGGTTATCGCGAGGGATGCTACAGTATAACAGGATTCGCTGATGGTGCTAGGTTCGCATTGCTTGCATTCTACACCCAAAGCCTAATGACCAGGAACGGAACGGTACATAAAACACAAATTAGCATGGGATGATAATGGATCGGAATCGTCTATACGTCTTCCTACCTCTTATCGAGCATTCGCTGAAGTGTAATTACAAATGTAACCGTCGCTACGCATGTAAATGACATGGATGATATGGATGGAAAATTGGTAAGTTATTAACCCTTAAACAATAAAGTTTGGAACTAAACTGATAAATCATATATAAATATATTAATCTAAAGTTGAATATATAATTTTTAATCGAAAGAGTTT